AAAACTGTGAGTTAGTTGTCGCAGTAAGGCATGATAGGCAAGTGGTAGGCAGGAAAGAACGAGCTGAGCAGAATCGGAGGCAGCATTCAAACTTCGTGATGACGCGTGTCGACGAGCTACCATATCACAGACGGGAACGCAACCGGGACCGTAGGCGGGTATCGACTGGTAGACACAGGCCGCTTGTGTCTTGAAACAGTATAGAAGACTAGGAGGGTATGAAGGCAGCGCCTATCCTCCTGTTACCTCGTGCTTTCTGAAAGTAAGCGGCCAGCGCCGATTGTTACCCGTCTGCGTTCCTGTCTATCATAGGTGTGCTACTGCAGTGGTAGCGCAGTATAGCGCGTCGTAGCACGTCAGCGCGCGTCATCGCAAAGTCTGAACGCTGCATAAAACGACTTGAGCAGAATGTGTGGTCGAGATCTCCGTCCCTTTTTTTCGTTTCCGGGCTAATATATCTGAGTAACAGCTAGTTTTACAGGACCTCGTTGTCGACATGAACCTTTTCTATGAGCAATACAAATCTATTAGGCCATGGATTCACAAGAAATCGGCAGTCACGTTGGGTCAGAAGCAATTTTTCCAGACAATAAAAGAGCGTGAAAAAATAGTACGTAGCAGAAATCGTCTGTAACTTAACTGCTTTACTTTGGTGGTTGTGTTTTAGGATGGACTTTACGAATGCATTTTGTGCCTATGTTGTTCAACGTCTTGCCCATCATATTGGTGGAATTCGGACAAGTATTTGGGACCAGCTGTGCTGATGCAGGCTTATAGGTATGTATGAAGGTCTGCTTTGAAGGCAGTGATAAGGTTGTCATAATCTGGTAGCATTCATGCTCAGAATTGCATCCGCGTTTCCATTGCAGATGGGTGATCGACTCTCGAGACGACTACGCCTATGAGCGTCTTCATCTCATTCACGACAACTATTCCATGTTCAAATGCCATACTATCATGAACTGCACGAAGACTTGTCCTAAGGTGGGAGTTTTATCAGACAAAATTTTCGCTATGCCAGCGAATTGCACCGCTGATCATACGCACCCAGGGAGCGAATCCAGTATCGAGCTGTCTACCCTCTGTAACCGTTAATTGTTTCCAGATTTATCTACTAGGCTAAAAGCACACTTTTCGATTAGCTGGTCGCGCAAATCATTGTATAGGATGAGACTCACCGGCCGTCAGGTCTCGTCGCCGCGATGCCTTTCTGATAGAACAACATGCCGCAGTCCCCAAGAAGGCGACCTGAACACCGACGAACTTCTTTAGTCTTTTGGAGGATTGCAACCGTGAGATCTTACCTCCCTGTTGTCGAAGCGCCTGCTCCCAGCTAGCTCCATCTAGTTAACCCTGGGAAATGTATGAGCGCTCGGGCGAACTGAAGCTTATCTGTTGCTTGATAGAATTGCTCACTCTCAGGCTCATATCTGAGGGGTCTTAATGCTTGGTGCACAGTCTGCGTTACCTCTGAGCCGCCTTCTACTACTTCTGGGCCACCTTGCTTCATTTAAGGCTTTTCTAGAATAGAGGGATGAACGGAAGATATAAAGCTCATTTTACTATCACAAGAATGCTGAGTTGTGGGCAAAAGTCGTGCCCCAGGCGGGAGTCGAACCCGCACCTCACGCTTTCCGGGCGAGTGCGCTATCCGTTACGCCACCAGGGCCGCTTTTACTCTCAGCTTAACGGCTTATGCCGTAACCTTACAGCACTCACACGTTTAACTTGGTGAGCCGGTCAGCCGTAATCGTTAGATATCGGCATGGAACCGCAAGGCCGAAGGCTTTACAAGTTTTTGAAGCTGTTTTGTTATGATGTTTCTTATCATAACAAAACAGCCCATTTTACTCTTCATTGTAGTACATTGCACATAGTACACTCAATGCATGCATTTCGGTACTGCAAAAAATACTGGAGATCTTCAAAGCTGGGAAGAAGCCTAAAACTCTCTCAATATTACATCGATTAACAATAGCTTGGCGACAGACAAGGATATTAGTTGAGAGTTCAACCCGCAAACTTGAGGCGTTTTGCGAAAGTGGGCGGGCCCCGTGTGGTGGGCGAGCCTGCCCATAGCTGGTGGAAATTTCGAAGAAAAAGTTCGAGAATTTGGAATTGTGATAAGACGAAAAGGTGGATGTGCTTAAAGGGCGCAGCTTTGTACGTTAGTACATAAATCTGCATTTATGAGTACTGGATGAAGAGTGGGTGTAAAAACAACGGTAAACTGAGAAAAAGTGATGAAAATTCGCGGGCAGAAAGTCAAAGAAGTAGAATTTGTAGAGTAAAATTCGAAAAATCATGGTC